AAATGGTAATTTATCTGTTCTTCTAGAACATCTGTAATCACAATATGCCAGAAATGGTAATATACCAGTTCTTCTAAAACATCTGTAATCACAATATGCCAGAAATGGTAATATACCAGTTCTTCTAGAACATCTGTAATCACAATATGCCAGAAATGGTAATTTACCAATTCTCCTAGAACATCTGTAATCACAATATGCCAGAAATGGTAATTTACCAATTCTCCTAGAACATCTGTAATCACAATATGCCAGAAATGGTAATTTACCAATTCTCCTAGAACATCTGTAATCACAATATGCCAGAAATGGTAATTTACCAATTCTCCTAGAACATCTTTAATCACAATATGCCAGAAATGGTAATTTACCAGTTCTCTTTCATTATTCATTTTCATGGCCAGGGTATATTTGATGATCTGTGTCTGTCTTGTCATCTTGACTGGTCTGAGCTTATCTTTTTAAAAAAGTGCTTTCTTTTACTATTCTTTGTAATCCGCTGTATTGTTTGAGATGGCCAAAGTAATTTAATTTGTGAGACTTGATACTTTTACCGGCCAGATTTATTTGAAGTTCAGATTTTATAAGAAAGGATATGTTCACTTTTAGTGAATTAATTAAATTGACCAGAAAGGAAAATAGTAGCTGCAGTGCACCTAAATTGACTCCTCAGCAACCTAATTATTTATAATTATAGTTTTTATGAAAACAGGAGAGGAGAGGGTCGACTTTGCTATGATATATTTAACGCAGTTGTGTGCATGAAGCATGTTGTTGCCAGATGGGACTTGGTTTGCAGTTGATAAAGTACTCACAGTTTATGTCAGTGTCTACAAACTGCAAAAGAAATTACTGTGACTTGGATTATTTGTTTCATTTTATTTATCAGTTGGTGCTAAAATTTTACTCCTGAGCCATATTTTCAAAAGTAAAAAAAAGGAAATGTCAAAATGGAAAATTGAATTGGTAAAACAGTACATGAAAATTGATAAAAGTAAAGTGCCTCTTTTCAGGCATATTGGGCTTATAGGGCTAGGGCTATATTTTATAAACCAGTTGGCACTTGGTGGGTGATGTGATCAGCATCACACCGGCTGCCTTTACCTCCCATGACTTACCTGGTACTCATTTAAGGCTAAGTAATGTAATCAATGGGGGTACTGGTCAGGGTATTTGCAGGCAAGTGGGTCCTGCAGATCATTTATGATGTGTACACCCTTTAACAGTTTTACTTGTTACTTTTTGTGTTTGGGTGTCTTTTGAAAAGTTTGTTTAAGAAAAAAACAAAACTTTAAAAGATTCCTAAACATAAAAAGTAACAAAAAAGTTTGTTTAAAAAAAAATTCAACAAAATACTATACAGTTGTGGGTGGATCCACTTTGTGTCCTAATAACCATAAATATTCAACATCAGAGCAATGTTAAAGTATTATCAGCTCACAAAACAAATTCATTGAATATTTTTATTGTTGTTAAATACAAGAAACTTGTGCTTATTTCCCTCCCAGTCTGTTTTACTTTTTGCTTCCTTTGAAAACAACTGATGTAAATGATACATAAGGGTCAAGATGTGCATGTAATTTTTTTAAAAATTCAGCCTTAATATCCAAGTTGATTATTATCTGTTGTTTTCTTCCTTTGTTTCTGTTCTTCTCTTCTTCTTTGTGTTCACCAGCTGTACACTCTGGCGTAAAGTTCTGGTTGTTCGTCCACTACTGAACTGCAGTCATGCTCCAGAACCTGAGTGTTGCATGTGCATCAGTTTTACAGATCTGATTCAATTGAATGCAGACTGCTGGTTCCTTGCCTGTCAGGCAGATGCACTCCGACTTCAAAGGAAGCTCCCCAGTTAGTCGACTCTTACGACATGCTTTTGGGGAGGCAGTGGGTCTATTCTTGTTTTCCCCACAATAGGGCCCCGGAACCCACACGGGGGAGTTTCTGTTCTTATTTTCAAGGTTTACCTGTTTCCTTGATAAATACACGAGGGGAAGCCAATAAGTAAGACAAATGATTGTTTAATAAAAAACTGGAGGCGATAACAACCTGAAAACTGTTTATTTTTATGCATACCCTGTCCCTTTATTTTCAACATAATTTCCACCAACATTGATGCATTTGTCCCATCATTTTATCCGTCCTTTCAAACCTGCTGCATAGAACTGTGTGCTCTGTTTTGTAAACCACATTTTCACTTCACATTCACTATGCACCGCTTTACGGGATAAGCATTTGTTAGCATAGCATAAACAGGAAGCATTTCGTAATGAATGTCCTTTGCAAGCAGCAAAAAAAAAAAAAAACACACACAAGAGCACATTGTTCTTTGATGGTACACTCTATAAATTAAGTTGTCATTTTGTTTCTGTGTAACGAATGTGCATGCAATACCTAGCGCCACTTAACGAACGGAAACATAAAGTTTGATGTTACTGTCAGCTAGTGACACCTTTAGAAACCACCAGCTACATTCTCCTGTCATTATATAACCATTTGTGACTTACTTATTGACTTCCCCTTGTACAACAGTTAAGTGATTTGTATATTACACCTTTGTACTTGTAGTAATGTGCTGATGAAAGTTCTTTAGCTGTAGTGTTCACTTATTGACTTCCCTTCATAAATCCTTTTCTCAACCTCCTTTATTTCTTTCTTTCTCTCTTTAATGTTTTCTTTTTGGTTTCTTCATTTGATAAATAATCAGTCTTTCTTTCTTTCTTTCTTTCTTTCTTTCTTTCTTTCTTTCTTTCTTTCTTTCTTTCTTTCTTTCTTTCTTTCTTTCTTTCTTTCTTTCTTTCTTTCTTTCTTTCTTTCTTTCTTTCTTTCTTTCTTTCTTTCTTTCTTTCTTTCCTTTCCTTTCCTTTCCTTTCCTTTCCTTTCCTTTCCTTTCCTTTTCTTTTCTTTTCTTTTCTTTCTTTCTTTCTTTCTTTCTTTCTTTCTTTCTTTCTTTCTTTCTTTCTTTCTTTCTTTCTTTCTTTCTTTCTTTCTTTCTTTCTTTCTTTCTTTCTTTTTTTCTTTCAATCTTTCTTTCTTTCTTTCTTTCTTTCTTTCTTTCTTTCTTTCTTTCTTTCTTTCTTTCTTTCTTTCTTTCTTTCTTTCTTTCTTTCTTTCTTTCTTACTATTTAGTAACTTTGCCTTCTCCACAAACTCAGAGCATAGATGCTGAACTAGGTTTTGAAAATAGCCAATATAATTAGTACAGAATGATTTGCTCTTATAGAGGGGGAGTAGAAGGAGTTGATCATTAAAGGACAATCTAGACCAACAGTTCTAAAGCTTAATTAACACAGGAAGTCTTTCATTCTTAACCTATCTATGTGAGCTATTTTACGAATGCTTATATGTATATACATACAGTAATCAGCATCTGTATTCATAGCTGTTCTAAAACGTGTTTAACTCCAGAAGTCTTGTATTCCTTTGTCCATTTTATTCTTTTCTCTACTCCAGGCCCTTCTGTTCGCTTCATATTTAGTACTTTTCAGTGAATTTGATATTTCCACTGTCCATATTCTGCGTGGTTGGCTCAGTTACTTGTGTATCTTTATAACCTTGTGGTGCCTTGTCTGTTGCCAGTCTTGTTACATGGCCAAACCATTTTAACTGTTGTCTATCAATAAAGTTCAGAACTGGTTCTGTACTGACTCTGGCTGATATCATTATTCCTAAATGTTTGTAGTTCTAACTGTTTATTATCTCTCCAGCCATCTTGTTGGTTTGCCTTATGGTCTACTCACATTCAACTCTTTTGTGTTTGTAGTTTTTGAGTGTCTCTCTCTATCTGCCATTTCTTGATATACATCAACCACTGCAGTCTGTTAGCCCTTATTATGCCAGTAGTTAGTGGTGATTTAATGAGTTTATGGATTTCTGTGCTGCTTTTCACTATTTATTCTCTGATGGTTGTATCTTTGATGGGTATGTGAAAAATTTTAGACACATATTTATGGGTGCACAAATGTATGCATGCACGCACGCATGCATACACACACAGTGTCCCCCCAAAAAAATCAATAACCTTTTTTATTTATTTTAATAATTTTGTCAAAAATCATCCGATTATTATAATATTTTATCAGATACTGATGAAATGTTAACCTACGTTTTGTTCATTTAAATTGATGCTCGAATTATCAACCATTAGCTGCAACACATTGTTTTAGTCAGATCTGCCACTTTTTTTGCTGCCGCATTTATGAAGCTCTGGTCTAGCTCACAGTCCATTTTTCGCCGCTGTCTTTCCGACACTTCATAGTGAAGGTTTCATTGATCTTTTGCAGAATGTTTGAGAGTTCACCTAAACTCCATCTTTTGTTTAGACATTTCTTAAGAAATTTTTTTGCACCAGAATTTTTGTTTTTTTCCCCCATAAGAAATTTGATTGCAGTTTTATCGCAGTTTTATCTTCATCAGTGAATACCATGTTGAAGCAGACGATTTAGCAGTTGTGCAGCTGTGGTACAGTGCCTCCTAGAGGTGGAGAAATTTGCGGCACGATATTGAAATTCTAAAAGAAGACCAAAATGTTATAATAAATGGACAGTTATTAAAAATATATAAAGCTGATTGAATTTGCGGGGGGGGGGGGGGGGGGGGGGGGGTAGTGTAGTTTCTTTTACTGACTGGCTTGTAAGACTGCAAAGATGTGTGGTCTGGTTGTAGCAAAGTTGTGTGGTCGGTTGTTGCAAAGTTGTGTGGTCAGGTTGTTGCAAAGATGTGTGGCTAGGTTGTTGCAAAGATGTGTGGTCAGGTTTTTGCATAGATGTGTGGTCAGTTTGTTGCATAGATGTGTTTCATTTTAGTGTCCTTTAAGTCATCTCAGAGTAACCAAACCTAAACGGTGAAATATCTACGACTTAAGATCTATTTAAAATGAAGAGATATTTTCCGGGGGACACAACTCACAATCCGAGTCAATGCCGCTCCCTTTCTCATGACCCCTGTTCCGGCTTTAAATGCTTCTGCTTCTTCTCCTCCCTCCATGGGTGACCTGACATCAGTGCATGGTCAGAAAGTCCAGCCACGCCCCATTGCAGAGTATGACCCGCTGAATCAGCAGCACAGTACTGCCGCACGTGCCAGCTATGGACAGAGTCAGCCAGTTGCGTACAAACCAGCCCGTAAGTTTCTGTCCCCTTGCAGACTTGTCTCATCTTGATTTTAAACTCAGTTTATCCTTGGTTCATTCCTGTTTTATTTGTTTGTTGCTACTCATTTAACCAAATGTTTAGTTAGTCTAGAATACATCATAACTAAAACAAATAATAAATGTTTCTTGTATTTGTTTCTTCATTTTAATAATTATATCTTCAGAACAGTACGCTATCATGTCAGACATGTTGTAGAATTGTTTGTGTACATTTGTTAATTTTAGAATTTTGGCAGTATTAAATTGAATCATATCTATGGAAGTGTCTATGTGCTGATAAACATTTGTTCATTTTGTGTATGATTGTTAATGTTTTGAAAACATTTGTTTGTTCATTTTAGTCTGTATTTTTGTGTGTGATTCATATCTTTAAAAAGTAAACAAAATTTCACATTCTTTTGCTCTTTTAAATGTGCATTGGTTAAGGATTGGATGTTAATCATGTTTATATATTTGTAAAAACTAGTTTCAAATGTTTTTTATATTTCCTAAAATTACGTTTTGCTAATCTCATTTTCCCCCCAGTGTATTCTGTTGAATTATTTACATTGTGTTCAAGATATACTGAATATTTGACAGTTAAATATTTTAAAGAAAAATTAAAATTATAATAAGCAGCTTTTGTTTTTCATTATAAATTATACACGCAAATGACCATGTTTTTGTTTTAATATGTAAAATCAGGAGATTCCAAATTTGAGTCTCTGTTCTTACATATTACTTTTGTTATAAATTACTTATTTGCTATATGTCTCACATATTGATAATGCCACACATATATTCCTAGAAGCACATATACCTCACATATATTTTCAGGAAACACAGTTCACTGCTTTCACATTGTTTTTATATACAGCTCTCTGATATCACAATTGCATATTTTCTTGAATGTGATGAGTTTGTGCCACATAATATATGCCATCTCTCAAGACATATTTTTCTACATGTGGCATTGTCAGATTAATATTTATGCTGCTATTTTATAATATACATTTAGTTTTATACACAGCAAAAAAAAAATTTGAGAGACAAACAGGAGAGCATGACAAGAATGTCCCAAAAACAAGTTAATGTCCCCTCACAAAGCCATTTTTAACACAGTAACATGTCTAAATACATTAAATTCCAGCCATCATATGTGTTGACATAGTAACATCATAGAATATGTTGTGGACTGTTTCTCTTGACATATTCCCATTCCTTTATTGTTATTAGACAGTTTATTATGTTTAGGTAATATTCGTACTAGTTTTAACATCAGTATGTTTAAAATGTAAATACATATCTTGGTCCCTATGTTTGTATGTGCTTCACCTCCACATTTTCCTCAACATATACACGTAGAATATTCTTATATGCTGCTTACGTACAACTATTTGTATGTGAAAGCTTTGTAGCTGCTTCATTTTTATAACCTTTTGTTTAATTGGCTTTTACAAATTTATTTTAAATTCCCTTTAACCTAAAACATTTCCATTACTTTTTATGTTTGTTTTGTTGAAGATTATTCTAGTTTTACATGATATTTTACAAATGATACTTAGTTTCTCATTAGTTTTAATTGTTACTTAATAGTTTTAGTTTAATAAAAATAATTTGTGAATTTTTCGAAATCTGTAAACTAACTCTGTGTAATTGATATAGACCATGTATATAAAGAATAGCCTTGAGTTCAATGCACTTTATTTCTCATGTTTCACTTTTTGTTTTCTTCATGAGGTTCTCATGTTATTGTCTTGTAAATAGAGCATATTATCTTTCTGATGTCAGTTTTGTTTAACATTTATCCTTCAGCCTGATTAATTTCACCATTCATGTTCTCCCTTGTTATACATATCATAATCTACACACTCTATCTCTTTGCCTTCATTGCACACCCCCCTCCCCCCCCCCTCCCTCATGACTCAGTACTAGGGGATCTCTCATTGTACAAGTCATCATCTATGTTTTATCTGTTTTCTTCTAATCTAAACTATCTCACCATCCGTGTAATACCTGTAACCGATGTATTTGATCTCCTCGCTGCCACATATTAAAACATCTCATCGTTGTTCTCCACTTAACAGCTCCAGCTCCACAAGCTCAACCCGCCCGGCCAGCCCAGGCTGCACCCAAACAGGTATGTGTTGTGCTGTGCTGTGTTGTGTTGTGCTGTGCTGTGTTGTGCTGTGCTGTGTTGTGTTGTGCTGTGTTGTGTTGTGTTGTGCTGTGTTGTGTTGTGTTGTGTTGTGTTGTGCTGTGTTGTGTTGTGTTGTGTTGTGCTGTGTTGTGCTGTGCTGTGTTGTGTTGTGCTGTGCTGTGTTGTGTTATATTGTGCCCTATTGATGTTACTTGCAATAAGTATGTGATGTGCATTTTTTCCAAATCTGAATTATTATGGCCTAGAGAAAATGAAACACCTGGGTATGACCAGAGGGTCTGATTGGCTCACTACACTCAGAGGAAAGGCAAGATGGAGATATAAGCAGACTATGACCAGCACCACCATTAGAATCGGTACTCTGCAACCATTTTCAGACAGTATGCCTCAGAAAGTTGCTTGTTAGCTGGTCATCCCCTCCTGTAACACAATTTTTTCATTATTTTGAAGCCCGAACCTGGCTCTTGCCAAGGGCCGCAATATAGCCCTGCCATAAATATGGTCTCATGGCTGAACTCAGTTTCTGGGACCTCTCCACGGGTGATCCTCATCCACATGGTGGCACTTTGTGTCATCGGGTGTTTATCGCTTGTGTGATGTCCTAGGGGGGAAAATATACTACTACTAAGAAAGTTGCTGAACATAAAATGGCAAGACAGGATCCCTGACACTGAAGTCCTTGACATAACTGGACTGTCCAGTATTTGCACGATTCTAAAACAATCAGAACTTTGCTGGGCAGGTCATATAGTCCGCATGCCTAACCACCAACAGCCAACAAAAACTGTCTATGGTGAGCTACTAAAAGGAAAACGTTCTCAAGGTGGACAGAAGAAATGTTTCAAGGACAGTATCAAAACCTCACTGAAAGACTTCTGTAATGATCCTAAAACCTGGGAAGTCGCTGCATGTGACTACTCATCTTGGCGCTCCTCTCTTCATACAGGAGCTGTGGCCCATGAAGCTGCTAGAACTGCAGCAGCAATTCAGAAAAGACAAGCCAGGAAAGACACTGAAGCAAATCACCAGAGAGATGTGGCCTCAATTCCCTGTCCACACTGCTCAAGAACTTTCAGTGCTGGAATTGGCCTTATCAGCCATTCAGCCATCTGGGCACTCACAAAACCTAACCCCGTCACCATTGGATGAAAGGACTGGTCATCATCGCTTGTGATAGATGAACAACAACAACAACATATGCATTTATATATATATAGTAGAGGACCCTTTTTCACACCTTTAGGTGTATAGGGCACATAGGGCTAGACCTATATTTTATAGACTAATCGGCACAAGATGGGTGATGTGGTCAGCATCATGCTGGCTGCCTTCACTTTCCAGGACTGCACCCGGTACCCACTCAAGGCTGGGTCGACCTGGGAGCCAAAGTCATTTTTGATAAAAGTCAGGCTCCGTCAGGAAGCAAGTCCACGACCTTTCGATCCTCAGGCAAGCGTCTAGCTACTCCGCCGGGGCGACTCCCATATATAATATATATATATATATATATATATATATATATATATATATATATATATATATATAAATCACTCATATGTTTCCTGTACATGTCTATATATTTTCACAAATTCCTCTTATTTGTTTACATGTGAAATAATTGTCTGAGGTGTAAAACATTTTGGTTTGTATGACACATATTTCTGCTACTTATGAATTTATTAGTTTATATGTTACAAACTTCTACATATACAGGTGGTGTACCGTGCATTGTATGACTACACGGCAGCCGACGCAGACGAGGTCAGCTTTCAAGATGGCGACCACATCATCAACGTGGAGGTGGTAGATGCAGGCTGGATGCTGGGGACAGTCCAGCGGACCGGTCAGCATGGCATGCTGCCCTCAAACTATGTGGAGAGAGTCAACTAGTTCATTCAGGATGTTAGACAGAAAATTGTTGCGAGTTTGTATGCAAAAATGGAGACGCTAATTGTGTACACAGACTATCAAAGTATTTATTTTTGCCGTTTCTTTCGCATGTTTCGACTCCTGTAGTTTATTATTCCTGCAAGGAATGCTTTATATCCTGTTTTTAAACATCTTGTAATCTCCAGGAAATGATCATGATTTGGTTTTTTCCTTTCCGATTATCGTTTTATGTAACACAGACAACCGACACTGAATTAATTATGTATGTCATACTTAGTTTATTACTTCCCCAATGGAAATTTTTTTATGTCATAAAACGTACTGAGAAAAATTTAGTTCTGTCTAATTTATTTCAATTTTTCCTTGTTAATTTGTATTATTATTTTAAAAGTTTAAGTGCAGTAATTATTTTAAAACATTTTGTTTTAAATCATAAGACACACTTTTAGACTCGAAATTATAATGGCCAGATTAATCATTCTTATGTTAGTGTCAAATGTTTATACATATGTTACATAATACATATTTAGACACAAGCAGTATTTTTTTTCATATTCCTGTGTGCATTTTCACAGAATTATAGAAAGTAAATATATAGTTCATTTGCTATTTGAAAATAAGGAATTTAAATTTACATTTAAAACTTGGCAGGCAGTATTCTTTTGATTTAGTGCAAAATTTGAGATATTTTCAATTAATGCAGCCAGTATTTCCAGGAATCAAATATTGCTTCAACATAAAAAGAAACACCTGTGAACAAAATACAGTATATTTCTCACGACAGTATGTGCTGTTCTATAAAATAATTTGTAAACAAATGTTTAAATTTGGCAAGAATCCTTACAACCAGAAATATTTTCCAGTCAACAGTTGAATGTATTTTTAAATCAAATAGTTCAGCAGACATGTAGCAAACAGATATATGTGCACAAGAAAAAGTT